TATATATATATATATATATCATATATATATTTATATAAAAGGGCATCATCTGCTGTACCTAGCCTGGACTGACAGAGGCCGTGTATATATTGTACATTTAAATAAGAAATAATTGTGTATTGTAAATATGTGTAAATATTGTAAATATTAGCTCCAGCTGGGGCTCGACACCAAGACAGACAGATTGACTGACCGTCAGTTGTAACATGACCTTGACCTTGACCTTGTGCAATCAGTTCAACTCAAAACGGCAACACAGTTAGAGGCATCAACTCCACTTCTGCTACCGGGCAGCTGACATAGCTGCCTCGAGCCTTCAGCGAACGCATCTTCCGCAACCCAGCAATCGACCGAGCCAGTCGATCCTACCGGCACGCTCAGCACGCTCAGCACTGCATCACCTCCCAGACAGGCCAGCCAACGCTTGAATATTATATGTGTATTCTGTGTTTTGTATATTGACTTTAAACGATTCAATATATACAATCGTACAGTTTCGTGTGGTTTGTCTATTGGAGTATTGACGACAATCCCGCATATCTATCCACCAAAAGAATACAAAATGCAGGTCTCAAGAAGCTGTTCTAAAGAAGTATGTTCCATGAAAATTAAGACAGCTGATGACAGAATATTATCGCAGAATCAGTTCTACCTTCATCCAGCATAAACTTCACGGTGTTTGTACACTATGTGACCATAATTTTGTGCAGAGCAATAACAGTTGTTTTTTGTATAGAGAAATATATACTTATAAAAGTGACGTATTTATCAGTACAACAACTGTCATGTACATTACATAAATTTATTATTGCTGAGTTTTATTCTAGGCTAATCTTAGTACTCCTTTGATAATTGTATACATTAGTTACAGGAAAATAGCATATTAGTAACAGAAAACCCATTAATTATAAAGTCTGTTCCTTTCAAAATGTTGCTGTCTTGATTTTGCTTGGGAAAAAGGTGTAATGCCCCTTCAGTGTATTATTTGAACAGATTCGAAAATGCAGAGGTTTCGAGAATCATATAACATGAGTGTATTCATTCTCAGTGTGAAGAGAAAAATAACAAATTGGAAATTCACGCTTTTGGTGTTGGCCCAGCAGGTTCACTAGATATGTATGTGTGTATATGGGATGGGTACTGAAGAAGTACAAGTACTTGAGCTCTGAAAGAAATTATTATAAGTGCCTACAATTTCTGTGGCAGAAATAGTATGTTCATACCGCAGACACTTTACAGTTCTTAGTATTGGGTGGTGAATTGCATGTAGTGGTATAAATGTGTTGGACTGGGACTTCAGTTGTTGTATACACAATAGTAATTTGTAAAACGTTCAGAAATAAAACTAAATGTGTACATAGTAATGATTTTGAGGCAGGAACCAATTATAATGGGGGCACGTGGTAGCGTAGTTGGTTGAGGCAATATGGTACAAGTGGATTTGAGTCCTGAATCCTTTCAGCCATACTATGACCCTGGGTTTGACTCAGCCTCTAACAGAAATGAGTACCATAAATCCTCCTGGGGGGTAAAGGGCAGCTGGGGCATAAGGCTGACAACCTTACCACCATCTGTGAGCTGATTGTTAATCTCACAGACCTGTGAGCCTTCATGGCCTGTAATAAGGATAACGTTACCATTACCTAACTAATTATAATTCTCAGAATTTTGGTTTTAAAATTTTGGGTATGTCATAATATACATTGCTACATATAATTTATGCAGCTTGTTCTCTCTTTCTCCAGTCCTTCTCCTTCTTCAAAACATAAGCAGGTGACAGCCCAAGAGGAAGGACCAGAGTGTCGTGATGAGTTCTCCAGTGGCTCTCTTGCTGGATCTTTAGCCAGCGGTAGTTCTGGATTTGGCAGTTTACCCAAGAAGAGGCCACCCTTATTTACTTCAGGTATGTCCTTCCTAACCTTGCCGCCCTCTATGAGCCGATTGTCTAGAAAATGTGGGAACCTCAACGTCTCACAATCCTATGGACCTCCACGGCCTGTTACAGGGATAGTTTTACTTTTTTTGTCCTTCCTAACGGCTTTATTCTCCTGCCTTTTACATTTATCTTACTTCTCTTAGGATCCAGTCACCAGCTCAATTACTGGTATGCCTGACTGGCACAGCACTGGCTTCTGAAGAAGTGGAAGCAGGCTTATTTATTCTTATATGTGTATGTGCAGAAACTGACTACTGACTGAAATCTGTATCATTTTGTTAGTCTTATCTTCAAGACAAATAACTTTCACAAATGTTCACAGAGTGAGTAAATATATTGATAGTTCATTACATCTAAGGAAGAGATTCAAATTGGTTAGAATGGTGAGTAGCCGAGTAGTTACAGCTTTTATATAGGATATGCAGAATCTTAATTTGATGTTCTATGTATGCATATGAATTGTACTAGCAGGATGATCAGATCAAGGATGAGCTGATGGGTCATGTAGCATGGTTGGGAAAAATTAAAAATTCGTACAGAATTCTAGTCAGAAAACCTGAAGGCAAAAGACCACTTTGGAGATGCAGGCATGGATGAGATAATAGTATTGAAAAGATTCTTACAGAAATAGGGTATGGAAGTGTAGCCTGGGTTCATGTGGCTCAGAATAGAGTTCAGTGTTGGGCTTTTCTCAGCATGGAAAAGAGCTTTTAGAATTTTTAGAATCATATAAGGCTGCAAATTTTTTATTGGCTGAATGATTATGAGCATCTCAAGAGAGACTAAACCCCATGTAATTAGTTTCTACATGAGTTTCCTTATTTCGTACTAACTTATACTGGCTGTGCATTGCAGTATTGTAATGGATGCTTCACATGAAGACCTACTTACATTTCGCCCCGTATCTGAGGCATGACCCTCTAAATGTTTGTCAGGGTGAAAAAGACATTTTAGACAAATATTGTCGGGAAAAAATTGTTCCTTTACATGTATGTATGTATGTGAGTGTGCATGTGCGCACTCACCCAGTGTTTTTTTCTTAATTCTTTTACTTCTCAAGAGAATGAAACTAAAGGACTGATTTTTATCAAATATCCTGTTGAAAATCATTGCACACATGCATGTACATCGATTCCTCAGATTTCACAGAATCAGTATAATAGAAGTGGTCCTTTGCATAAGAGTCTAAATATGGATTTTTAGGTCATACATTTGTGTACAATATGCATGTTTCCATTCTTCTAACATACAAAAACCTTATTGCATTATATGTCATGCAAAGTAATAATTTTCATGGCAAAACCCGGAAAGTCATGATGTTTTCCATTGTAATAGCCAGCTGAACATAGTTAATGAGAATTTACCTAAATATTATTGCAGGGTCTGTCATGTTGCCTTATGGCTGAAAACAGTAACTGCTTGTTGGGCGACATAGGTACCTTTGGATTTAAAATATTCAAAATTCCATTGTATAGGTGAAGGAATGTCATTATTATTATTTTGTTTACAACCATCTTTCCATTAAAAGTTATGGTAGATGCAAGGCTGATGTCTTTGTAGCCTCATTTCATACAGTGCACCACATTCTGTTAGGATGCAGAGTTAATATTCATAAACTGAAAATCTGAGTGCACACCAGAAATTTTACACTGAGTGTGCATTTTGTAACTTTAATTGAGACCACTGGGTTAAAATCCAGCTGCCATTACTGTAGTACCAGGGGATTAGAATGTCCTATTCTCAGTGATAACAGTTATTAAAGTGTAACTACATGCAAGTAAAAATAAAACTACTCTTATAGGTTATCCGTTTTTCATAAGCACCATGTCATACCAGGAAGTAAATTGTGAATTTTTTCATGTTATGGNGTATATGTTGTATTCACTGGTAGGATGAGTTGATACTAATGAATCTGGAAAGAATGTAGAAAGTGGCCAGACATATTTATTGTAGTAGACTGACATTTGCCTGGAAGGACTGAGGAAGACCACAGGAATTCTCATATAGCTAGCCTCTGGGATAAAATTTGGACATGGGTCCTTTGACATGTGAAACAGAAGCAGTGACTACTCCATCACAGTGTTCAGTACTTTGTTCTGTATATTGATATATGACAATTTTATTTGGACAGAACTAGTGACTGGAGCTGTGCAGGATACGTTGGACCCTGCAGATGCTGCTGGTGAGACAGATGAGGGTCATGAGCCAGGACATTCACGTAACTCTTCCAACACCAGT